TTTATCCATTTGGTTAGAACTTCCCGGGCCAGCCAAATAGCTCAGCAGATTAAAGCACCTGCAAGCAGTCGAAGGACCTGGAATTCAATCCCCAGGCCTGAGGTGCCGGCCCCGCCCCTGGGGCCCACTGAGACAGCAATTGAGACTGGGCGTGGTGGCGTAAGCCTGTAATCCCAGCTCTTGGGAGGCTGTAAACAGATGGATCACTATAAGTCTGATCTAGTAGTGAGGCCCTGAACACCCTCTGCACCCTTCCCTAAAATACCAAAAAGTCTCAAACTTCCCCTGAGCCCAGCATGTAGCACAGTCTTGCAGAGTCTCTGCCAGAGGCCAATGTGAAGTAGCTAGCACAGCAGGGGTCTTGACTCCTCCACATATTATCACACTAAGGAGCAGGAAAGGCCCAGGCCACTGCCCACCATGATTTTAGGGATTCAATGGCAAAAAAATACATATTGGTACAGGGGCGAGGGGGATTGAACTCAGGATCTTAGGACCCTGTGCTTGCCAGGCAGGTGCTTATACCACTGAGCTATTGCCCCAGCAGAATATTTTCTTAAAATCAGAGGGAAAATAATATAAAAATCAGGAAAATATACAGTGATTCCAGCTTGGTCTGCATTCATCTTTATGCCATTGTAGTCATGGAGCCTGATCACTACTGGGAGGATCAACTTCACTAAGCATCAGCTCGCTGTGTGGGGTGATCCTAGCACATGACGCTACAGGGAGGCAACTCATGAGCCTTGGGCTGTGAGGGCCTGGATCGTAGTGTGTGTGTGTGTGTGTGTGTGTGTGTGTGCGCGCGCACGCACGCACGCGCATGTCAGGAGAGGGCTTCGCAGTGTATGAGAGCAGCCCGGAGCTCCAGCCCGCCAGGGACCCCAGGGGTGAGAGTCGGTTCCTTTCTTAGATGGCCTCTCACAAAGGTGCAGGAGACAGGTGTGCGTGTTGGGGGGAAGGAGTGGCTCACTTACTGTGTCACTGGAGAGCTAACAAAAAGGCAGCTCAGACTTGCTAAGCAACTTTCCTAATTCACAGCCTTGGGATCTCCTTTTCTGACTCCGCCCCCTCTCTCTGCCTTGAGTCTGGACTGCCGCCCACCCGCCCTAGCCCCAGCATCCGATGCAGCTTTGCCTCTTTTCAAGGAATTTCACACAGGCGCTGGAGACTCCTGCGCGCACCTCTTACTATACGCTGTCACCAAGGATTCAATAGCCCTGTGTGGAGCTCGTGCCAGCTCCTCAGCTGCCAGGTGCTACTTTCCAACCCTCAGGCAGCCCAGGCTCCGCGGGCCCCACTCCACCTGCTCCGAAGGGCTGTCACGCGGCCAAGCCTGGGGTGTGGCGGCAGCGCTCCTTTTCTAGTTTTCCTTGGCTTCCTTGGAGACGCTTGTGCTGGGAGGGGAAGATGGAACGTCGCATCTTGGAACAAATCTGCTTCTGATCATGCAAATCAGTGCCCAGTTAGTGTAGGCAGACTGTCAATTTCACCAGTGAGGAAGAGAGGAAGAGGGTGGAAATTCCCTATCACAGAGACTGATGAAGGATTTCAATAGAGAGCTGCTACTTCAGAAGGTAAGATCGTTCCCCAAGAGTGGAGGAGCCCTTCTAGGCATCTCAAGCAGCCCTGATGCCCCGTGGGTATGTTGCAAACTGTGCTGTGTGTCACTGGGGCTCCCTGGGAGGACCACGGCTGTGCTGGGGTGGCAGGGGTGAGGGGATTTGGCGCACCTCTGCCAAGGCAATGGCTGGATCTGGGGGCGCAAGCTGTGGGTTGAGGCTCCTACCCCTCCCCCCCAGCTTCTTGTGTAAATTTATTAACTGGGCTCTGGCCAGCCCTCGGCAGGATTGGCATGAGGAAGAGGTGTGTGTGCACATATGTGTTTGCTATGATTTGGAACCTGATCTCAGGTCAGGAGAGGTGATTCAGTGACTGCCTGTTCTTTGTATTCCTGTTTCTGTGGCTAACTCTGGATGAGGGACACTAATCCTATCAAGATTAAAGAATTAAGTAAAACAAAAAAACCCCTACATTTATTGAGGTTAAATTATTCTCTAGATATTGAGGTATATTTAAACCCTCTGATCATTTTTATAAAGATATAAATAATGACCAAATTTATAAGCAGGATAAATGAGGCTCAGGCTCTGGGAAATACAGATGCCTCTGACTAATCCCAGGACACTTCCTGTTTGGCCATGAGACAGCCAGATTCGTGGGCTTCTGGTCAGTTTCTTAGCCACGTGTCACCTTGCTGGCAGTGCCACTACGGGCCTGGCAACTCCCTGCCCCTCTCCTCTTGGGCTCAGGAGTAGGAAGCCCATCTCTCCACACCATGTCTTTAGGTGGTTCACCTTGCTTGTTCTCTACTCCCTAGTCTCACTGACCTCCAGGAGGGCAAGAATTCAATTTTTATGCTAAACACTTGGCCCAGCGCCTGGGACATAGCAAGTGCCCTCATGAATGTTGAACAGGTCTCGGCTTTAGACTAGCGTGCTTGGCACTGCCGAGGTGCACATGCAGCTAGGGTCTGACAGGCAGATGCTGAAGGAAATGCGGCACTGTGTGACCCAGGACCACGCTAGAAGAGGGATGAGCAAACGGAAGACTCTTAAGGTGGGGGTGTGCCTAGCATGTCTGGGGACCCTGCAGGAGGTCAGGTGTGGCTGGAGCACAGTGAACCACGAGGAAGGGGTGGGAAGCGAGGCCAGTGAGCTGCAAAGGCCATGTCACACAGGTTCTCTAGGCTATGGGAGGGCTGTGGCTTTGACTCTGAGAACGGAGGCCACTGAAGCGCTCAGCGTGGAGGAGTGGCCTGATCCAACTTTTGTCTGCAGTGACTGTCCCAGCTGCAGTGGGCCTCACCAACAGTGAGGGCCTGAGAAACAGGGAGGCAGCAGGGCTCCTGCCACGGTCCCAGAGAAAGAGGACGGCAGGATCAGGTGGCCCAAGGGGTGGTGAGAGGCAGAGAGAGGATGGCCCAAGAGGTGGTGAGAGGCAGCTGGCTGCTGGGTGTACTGTGAAGACAGAGCGGCTGCAATCACTGAGGGAATGCTGGCGGAAGGTGGTGTCCACGGCTTTCTGGTGTTGAGCCCAAGCACGTGGAGCATGAGCAGCTGTTTGCTGAGGTGGCAAAGACTGCGGGAGGATGTGCTGGCTCGGGGTGGGGACAGAGCGGGGACCAGCAGTCTGCTGTGGATGAGGGGTCAGGAGCTTATGAAGAGCTGGCCAGATTGAGAGCTAAGCCAGTCTTGAGCTCAAGTGGAGGGTCTGGGCCAAAGCCAGCAAGAGACTCTGTCTGCACACTTAGCGGTCAGCACGCAATGGCCTTGAAAGCCAGGCTCTAGCCGCCACCCTGGCCTTTGCTGTGGTCCTCCTCCCTGCGGTCTGGTCAGCGCCCAGGTGCAAGCTGGGTAGGTCGGGACCCGAGATGGCTCAGTGCTGCGCCTGTTCCGGAAGGAGCGAGGGAAATGTGCAGAGCATCACGTCTAGTCAGAGAACAGGCACGGAGAGCCCAAAGCCTCCCAGCGCAGCTTGGGCAGCAGCTGCGAGATGGGCTGGGAGTCGGCCTGCGAGGCTGCAGCCTGACTCCTGCTCCCGTGCCGCCTCGAGCATGGGCCTTCTGAGCCAGGCCTCTTGGGCAGCCAGCCTCCTGCTGCAGAGCACTGTCCGTCTTTGCGAGTGGAAAGAGGAAACTGCCTGCTCAGCCTCGGAGAGGAGGGAGCATGCAGCACCTAGCTGGGGTCCGGGTTAAAGCTTTCACAGGGAGTAGTACGCGAATTGAGGACAGGGTGGGCACAGTCCCCAAAGCACTACCAGGGCAGTGGTTGGCCTGCACAAGCCTCAGGCAGCCACATGTCCAGGCAAACTTCTTGCAATCAGCAGGCGTGATAGAGAAATGTAACCTGGGCTGCTATGTGGTCCAAACCTTCCGAGAAGCTGCACTGCCTTTCCTGCAGACAGAAATTGTACTGCCGGCAGCAGGGGAGTGCCTCCTGGGGTGTCCCCACCCCGTGTGCCCTGACTTGGATGATCCCAAGCCTCCTGGGAAAATGAAATTAGATTCTTTTCTTAATGGTTCTGAGATAGCTGGGGTAAGTTCAGTACAGTGGTGCCTCGGTTCACGATGCTTGTTTGCAGACAATTTGGTTTTAGAAAGAAGCGTTCGGCAAGGTTTGGTCTCTGTGTGCAAACTCTGCATCAGGTAGCAAACGTGACCGTGGCTGTCTTTCCCTCACAGATGCAAATGCAGGCATCTTTTTCAAAACTGCAGGACAAATTAAGTCCACGAACCAACAGCCACACACCCCTATGTGCAGGACGTTAGATGAAGCACTTCCAGGAAAAGGCAACACTGAAGATCACGCGTGTGTGAACTGAGCGGCAGTAAGCAATGCCTGGTGCTCTTTCTACATGTCTACATCGCTTGGGGAGGCTGCCGTTATTCTGTCTACACCACTCTCCTTTCCCAGGGGAACCTAAAGAGTCGCACATTCATTCTACACAGGTACTACATATTACAGGCTGCTTTTTAAAGGCATGAGTGCTATATCAATTCCCATTCCTCTACAGCTTAGTCATAAACATGTTGTTATATGTTTTCCATCTAACAACAGACACCCCGGAAGCAAGTGGAGAGTTAGCTAGTTCATTTTTTTGAATGGCAGCATAATACTTAAAAGTTTACATAGTTTGTAATTGAATCAGTCGTTTCTGTGCTAATTTTGAATCCTGTCCTTTTTTTTTTTTTTTTTTTTTTTTTTTTTTTTTTTTTTGCCACATCCATTAGTATTATGAAAAACCACCTTTGCACATATAGATTACCCATGGGAAATAGAATAATCCAACAGAATTCAGAATCCTATCTGCATGAATTAACAATTTATAAAAAGAATATTCAATAGTGCTCCCAATGATTTTTACTGTGTGTGCTCTGGCAATTCCTTGGGCCCAGGCTAGGGACAGCCCACTGTACCCCCAGCCTCCTCTTGGCCTACCTTCACTGCCTTGGCTCTGTTAATAAGCCCGTCGTCCTGTGAGCTCCCAATGAGCAAATCGACCTTGGTCCGAGGAGGCCTCTGCAGGGCCCTGGCTGGGGCCTCTCGGAGGTACTGGCCATCCACTACTGGGCCCCAGTAGTGGAAAGGGCCACTCACTGCCAGGAGCTGCAGGGTACAAAGGAATGCCATTGTCTTACCTTTAATGCCATTATTAGTCTTACCTTCTTTTTTTTTTTTTAAAAAAAATAGTATTTTTTTTTTTTTTTTTTTTTTCAGAACCGGGGATTGAACTCAGGCCCTTGCACTTGCCAGGGAAGTGCTTATTCCACTGAGTCATCTCCCCGGCCCCCCCAAAAATAGTATTGGAACAATGAATTGTCTTGCTTTGCATGAGGAAGTCCTAACTGAATTGACCGCCCAAGAAGGTTGTTCACCCATAACACTCTTGGAGAAAAACCAAAAATGACCACAGCTACAGGTAGGCTGGACACAAGGTGACAATGCCAGGGGCTGAGAGCAAGTCTCACTCTCAACAACAGGTGGCCCCAAGGAGGGCATCCTAGTACCTACCTACTGAGCTAAGAACAGATGCCAAGGGCAGAAGGGGTATGTGGCTGCAGAAAGGGTTGTGGCTTTGATAAATGAAACTGACTAATCAGCTTTAGCTACCATGACATCTACCACATTTAGGGAGACTAAGGGTAAGACCCATTGCAGTCTTTGCCCAGGGAACCAAGTTTTCAGCTGCAATTGCACCAGGGACTCCTGCTGCTGTCTTCTTTGCTAATCTCAGAGACAACTAGAGACTTGGGCTGTAAGCAAGGTCTTTGCAGGCTGTGAAGTAGGCACAAAGCTGCACTGTGTAAGGGCTGGGATAGCCCAAGTCCATAACTTATCTATGGGGCTATGTTCCTAATGCCAGAACACAGAGCTGTGACTACCACAGTGCTGCATGGGATGCACAACCACTCCTTTGTGGCCTTGCACTCTACACCTTCCTGCTTTGCAAGGCCTGCATCAGTATCTTCATTTCATAGGTGAGAAACTGAAGTTGCAGGGGGCCCTGTGCACCTTCAGTACCCAGGCTTGATACATGCTGGCCTATGGGCATCAGGGAATGGACCTTCTACCACCTGGTGGCTTGCATGGGCTATGTGTCCCCTCTAGGTCTTGGCTCTCTATTTGTGAAAGGCTGGCCTGCCCCTCCCAGCCTGCACAACAGTGCCCACCTTGGTCTGGGCATCATTGAGGACATTGGCAGGTGTCTGGCGCAGGCAGGAGACAACTTCTTGGGTGGATGAGGTGGGGCAGCTGACCTCCTTCGCTAAAGCCATCGCCTGTTGCTGAGCCCTGCTGGGGCTGATGACAGCGGCTGGGGAGAGTGCAGAGCCTCCCTGGAAGAGAAAGAAGGGTTGAGGCCAGGGCCCCGCCAGCTCCTGCTCTTGCTCAGCCTGGGAAACTCAGGGCCACATCAGACTTCTGAGCCCTTCCTGAGGCTGCTCGCAGGCAGAGGCCAGGAACAATAGACTGCACATCAGTGTGCTATGTGAGCTCTAACCAGTCCAAGTCGAGGCCTCAGTTTCCTCATCTGTGAAGTGAGGACCCTTGGTGAGGCACCTTCAGTCATGGCTGCTGGGTTGGAGTCATTATGCAGGCAAAGGGCAGGTGGTTTCTCAACAGGGACAGAGGTCACAACAGAAAGGAACTCTGCCAAAGTGGGACTACATCCTGCTTCCACCTCCTCCAGGGGCTGGTTAAAACAGCAAGCTCTTACCCCTCAACTAGGGCCAAGTTGGACTTTAACATGGAGCCCACTTAGGAGATGATGAAAATACATTCCCTTTTGGGAAAGGAAATTGTTCTAGCCACATCGATGTATGTCCCTATTAGCCGGACAGGTCCTTGGGGGCTTTCCTGTCTGGGGATCCATGGGAAAGCTGGGTTGCAGGAAGCTGGGATTTACCTGAGCCATTGGTGGAACTGGGTTTCCTGCCCAGCGAAGGATGGAGCAAAGGGTCAAATTTCTGCCAGAGAAGGGTGCAAGGGCATAAATTCATGGAGAGCAGGAATCAGGGCCAGCATGGCAGGAGACTGCACTGCTGTTACTAGTGCTACAGCCGCAAATACAGCAGCAGTGCCTGCCGCATAGGGAGACCTGTGGCATCCCCTGCTTTGCTCATCTGACCCTCTCAGGGGCTGTGTGAGTTCATTTCTGTTACTGCTCCCATGTTAAAAATCTGAAACTAAAGACATAGATAGAATTAAAGACCTAGGTAGTGTGAGCAAAGCCAAGCGCCAGGGAGGTACAGCAGCCCGGAGTGCAGAGCCAGGCTACAGGGCATGCTCCACCACATGGCCATCTGTGGAGACGGAGGGCCTGGCTTCGTGCTGGAGCGCTGACGGAGGCGCTGCTCTGATCTCAGAGCCCCGGTCCCTAAACAGGGCAGCTGGCTGCAGAGCACAGTCCCAAGCCACTGTGACCAGGGGCAGCACGCTTCTCCCAGGAACTTGTCTGTTGCGCCGTGTGTAACCTCCACAGTAGTAGCCTGGGGCAGCTGCAGTGATCGCCCACTTGGCACACATGAAGGCTGATAGCGGCCAGGGAGAACGTTCGTGAATTGAGGGCTTCACAAATACCAGGAGGTTAACGACTGAAACCAGAGGTATGCCCAAAACACACAGTGTGTGTTAAGTTTTTAAAAAATATTATAGTGAAGGACACGCTGTCACTAATTCTTCTCAAAATCCTCTGCCTTGCTTCGAATACTCTTACTCCATCATTCTTACTACTTACTGAAGCAGTCCTGGAAGTCCTCCTTCCTGAGAGTTTCTGTGAGGTGTGATGCAAAGCATAGCGACTGGCCCTGCCCTCCAGTGGGAAGGCGAGCTGGTAGAAACAGGGCGGTGCTCCTCCTCCGCCTTCCGCATGGGATCCGGCCTTGTACAGCTGCTAGCTCCTCCCCAAAGGCAAACACCAAAGGGGAACATTCTGAATGGATTCGGCACATCAGGGTAGCCAGGGTGACTGAGGACATTCACCAAAGAGGACTTCAGGGCAGCTTCAGAACGCGGCGAGCACCCAGGAGTAAGTGTGTTCAAAGTGGTGGGGGCGGCTGGGAAGGGGATCCGTGGCAGTGCGACTATGACTGTCCATGTTTGTAAGCATGCACTGTGGTTTTTTGGTCGCATCTCACAGCGACTGCTCACGTGCACTGAGGACTCTGGATTGCAAGCACCAGCACTAAGCACTTACCTGCACCAACCTATGGAATCCTTCCCAGAGACCTCAGCGTGGATGACAGTTATCCCCTTATCTTAGAGAAGGGGAAGTTGGGGCGCAGAGGTTTGTACTCCTTCCAAGTTCCTGCCTGCTGAGGGGCAGAGCCAGGATACAGGGTGGGCTGGGCCACAGACTCTGGCCCAGGGACCCACTATGTATATGCTTCTGTCCTAGAAGGTGGTCAGTCCTTGAGCTAAACTGGATCTTGCTACTCTAATGTAAAGACAGCGCCATCCCAGGGGACTGAGGTGCTCGGGTCACAGATCCAGGCCCTGAGCTGCTATACCATGAACTGAAAACACTGGAAAGGTAGCGTTCAGTTGCCCCTCACACAGAAGGGGGGAGCAAGGCTTGGCTGGGAGGCCCAGCCCTGGACACGTGGCCTGGAACAAGGGACAGCATCCCGGCCCTGCCCAGGAAGGCACCAATGGTCACTGCGCTTCCGGATCAGAACTGTCTGGGGCAAGGAATGGGTGTCACAGTGTGCACATAGCATCCAGGGGTCTGGGCGCCGACACCCAAAGGCTGAGGGGAAGGCCAGGAGGGAGAGCCCAAGTCTGGCCCTGTCTAGCAGGTAGCACCCGACTACCGGGCTCCAAAGCCCAGAGGCCACTAAGCAGACTATGTCCTGGCTCAGGGTTCCAACTCCACAGGGACAGCTGCAAGAGCTCCTTAATACCTGCTCCTCCTTCACATCAACCCTATGTGGCTCCCGTAGACTGAGGGGCTTGGTCATGTCCAGGGTTCACCCTAACGGAGCACCTTCTCTGCAGCAGGCACCTCTCTCTGTGACACAAGGTAAGCTTCACTAACACCTACAGGGCAATGATGGCATCCTCTCTGTAGATGAGGGAGTTAAAGCATTGAGAGGTGAATGCCTGGTCCAACTTTACAGGGTCTGGGGAGGCAGAGCCAGGGCGTGAACCAGGCCCTTGGCTACCATGAGGTGGGCCTGACTTCTGTGGAAGGTGGTGGTGCTACTGTTATCCTTGTTTCTGCTTGGATGTTGGGTCCAAAGAGGGACCTGTGGCCAGAGTCAGGTCAGTGCAAAGCTGAGCTGAGGGCCTGGAAGTCACACAGGGCATGTGGACCACAGATGCCACACCAAGCAGCCTTTCCAGTAGTGCCAAGTGCTCATATCAGGCCTGGCAGATTGCGCGACAGACTCAGACAAGAGTGGGCAAAATTCATGGTTTCCTGTCAACCCCTTTAAATAACAATCTCAGGCTTACAATGAGACACACTGGGCCAGGCTCTAACACCCTGCAATCATTCAGCCAGTGCCTCCTCCTGCGCTGCAGCATCTCTCACAGAGGAAAACTCTAAACCCAGGCTCCTTGTGGGAACAGGAAGAAAAAGAAACAAACACCCAGTCAGCTCAGGGCCTGGAACTCGGTGTCAGTGGCAAGGAACCAGGGTGAGGACGATTCAGAGCTGGTGTCGAATTCTGCCTCCATGGGCTTATTCTCCCACCCATGAGTGACCAGCTTTTTTGAGGCCCACTAGATGTGTTTTCTCTGAGCACAGCACAGACTCATACACCCAAGAAATTCAGGTCATTGTCCCTGTTCTAAATAGCAAAGTGTAGGACAACTGGGAGGGGTCACCAGCTTGGCCACAAGATGGGCCATGAGGACGTGAGAATTTCAGCACTTGGCCGTGACATCTGAAACATTTCATCAGCTATAAAAAGCCAGGCCTCTGATAGGGTGAGGAAGTGGTTAAAGGCGTGGGCTAGGCTGGTATTGTGCAGTAGGCAGCAAACTTTCCTCACGAAGTGTTTCGTTCTAATCCACCTTACTGAAGGCACTCTCTCTTCATGGACAGTGGGTGCTTGTGCTAGCCATCAGCTACACAACTGTCCTCCAAAGTCACTTGATAGGAGGCAAGGTGGGAACAGAGGGCCACACAGACTCCTGCAAACCGACTGGGCTTCGAGGGAGAGGGGCAGGTGGAGATGCGGGCTCTGTTACTCTGATGAAGTGGCCTGGGGCAGTGCCCATCCCAGAGCCTATGTTTCCTCATCCTGGCTGAGAACAGGAACCCATATTCACAGGGCCATTGTAAAGAACAATGAGGAGGATAGGGTGACGGTGCATGGAGACGTGTTGATTAGGACCTGCCAGCCCACTGGGCCGCACGTGGCCTTGCAGGCCACAGAGGCACTGGGGTCTTCCCAGGCCACCCAATCATGCCACAGGCCCACCTTAAAAAATATAAGTGCAGCCTTATGTATTATCTAACTCTGACCTGGGTATTAAGTGGCAATGAGTTTCCTCTTGTTGTTTTTTTAAACTTTAAAAATAGCATGGGCCTAAACCACAACTGCTGACCACAGCTTTCCCTTCCTGGAGTCGCTGAGCATTGCCTTGACCTCAGGAAGCCGCTGGTCAACTCCGACTAAGGCTTCACTCAGCCCACCCAAGCGCAGGGAGAGATGCAGTCACAGACAGAGACCCTCATGCACCACACAGCGGCGCAGAGGCAGTGAGACACAAGGCCAGGCAGAGCCAGAAATACCGGACCCATGCCCACCGAAGACACAGATGCAGAGGTGCACACAGACCATGGAGGCACAGTGCAGGCCGAGGCAGACTCACACGCAGACACACAGACACAGCGCACACACAAGCAAAGACACATGCACAGTCACAGACAGACACACAAGGGGGAAATGCAAATATGCACACGTACATACACACTGAGATAGACACACACACATTTGCACATACCAACACATACACAGAGGGTGACTTAGACACAGAGCCATGGAGACACACTTAGAGAGACACGTGGACATGTTCAGACACATACAGGCAGTTGCAGTGACACACACATTCACAGACACAAATGCAGATACACATGCATGAACAGGCAGTGCCTACTATAGACAGAGTCACACAGCCCAGATACTTAAGACACACTCACACAGTCACAGATGCAGAGAGAGATACAAAATAGCCATTCATAGAAATACACAGACACAGACACACACACAGACACACAGACACACACACACACCAGCCTTTCCTGCTGTGGACAGTTCAGTAGTCCCAGGAGGAGCCTGGCATAAGCCTTCTATGAAGATGTCAATACGCAAAGCAACACGAAGTT